TCATACGACGAGTTTAAAATTATCTCAGCACATTTTATGGCTTTAATAAAAAGAAAATTAAAATTTGAATATGGAGTGTCATTGTCATGACTGTAGTTTTGAGGTGAAGGGTGAAATTACAGTCGATGATGAACAGGCGCGATCAAGGTTCACAGATAGAAGGGAGGAAGAGAGAACCGCGGGATTAGATATTACTCGGTGCCGGGGTCGCTCGCCAACTGGCTTTGATATATTACCGAGTGATAATCCTATCTGCGCGCAAAGCCAGGACACAACGATACAACCAGAGCAACTGGATGCCATGCCGACTCCATTGCACTTACAATATGTATCCAGCTGCCTGCCGGTGAGAGAGCACGAGTAGTATCTAAGACGCTTATAGAGCGTAGAAATAAGCGCGGTCCTGTGCCACACACTGACGTCTGGTAACAGCCTAAGATGGAAATCCGTGTTAGCGAAGGACGGTTAACTTTGTCAGGAACAATTGCGATGCAATGCAATGTTATATCTCGGGAATGCGAGAATAATAAGATATATATCAGATAACGTGAACTGTAACCCTTAGATTTCCAGTGTTGTATAATATGACATTAGTAAAGAAAGCAATTGCTCCATCGTGAGCGATTGTTTCTTCTTTCATGTTTTATTTTTAAACGAACGATCAGCAGTCATATCGCGGCAGTACATACAAGTCAGTAAATACATGATATATAAAATTTTACATTTCCTTGACTAAAATAGAACATTACAAGAATATTGAAACATTTCGACCGTGTTTATTTTTCTATTATTTATAATATTTAGTCTACTTATATTATTTTAACTGTAGATTGGCTCGAGAAAGAAAATTAAAAATATAAAGTATAAAGTTTCATAAAATCATATTTTATTATATTTTAGTGTTATACATTATAATTTACATGTACAAATGTTGTAAAATTATAGTAATTTCTGAAGGATATTTGAGTCGAAAAACATCCATGATATTAAACGATAATATTTCATGATAAAGAAATAAAATTTAAATATACAGTGAAAGGGAGTGAAAAACACGCTTCTATTTATATTATTTTATTTTCTTGATAATTTTATTACGTTATATAACTGTATTTAAATTTAAAAATTAAATAAATATAAAACTTGTTTTTTTATACGTTTATCTTTTTCAAATGTAATTTGTGATTTTATTAATATGGCAAAAAATTGGAGTTTTAATTAAAAGCATTAAAAATGGTAAGGTTTCAGTTGCAAGAGAACACAGAAAGAAAATTTAAATAATTTTATGATTTAAGTAAATTACATACATGCACTCATTACAATACCATGATGCTTTAGCAATATAAATTACTGCATTAACTTAGTTCTATTATTGTTATAAAGTCAGATCGACGTCATTCTTGAATTATATCACGATATCACCAAATATAAAACCGAAATATGTAGTGTCACTAAAGAAAGAGATGGTAATACTCGAAAAAATTCTAAGTAATAAAATTAATTTAGATATTTCGAGAAAAATAGCTCGAAATTTTGACGAAGTATTCTTATACTTGACTGAAATTTGCCTTTTAACAGATTTCACTACAAGCCATTATATCCATTTCTATATAAATTACCAACCTGTACATACGCGTGCTGTCTACAGTACGACTTATCAATTCCTCAATCCCCGCTGTTTACGTATTTCCGTCGAATTGATAGCGCGATAGACGATATACAAAGCTCTTCCACATTCCATCGCGCAACCTGCATCTCTCAAAGCGAGCAAAAGACGAGCGCGCGCGTATTGCTCCTGATCCACAATGTGGAGCTCGAATTGATACCGGGGCCCACCTCGGAAAAGAGATCGTCGAGACCCCCAGCGTGCTGTGTGATCGGAGAAAAAAAGAGAAAGAGAGGAAGAGGGAAAAAAACCGGAATTCTCGATACATACTGATGTGTATGGCCATTCGCGGGGCGCCCTGGGGCCCTCCGACGAAATTGCATCCGGAATTTCAATATAGCGCATATCATATTTCAACCTTAAAACGCCGCCAGCGCTGTCCAGGTATTACTTTGAGGCTCCTGTGCCCGTAGAAGCCGACTTTGCCCACCGATTATAGAGATTCCGACTGCGGTAAAGTATGTGCACAGGTGAAACGCGGGGATGGGGTGGACCGAGGGATGCGGCAACCGTTCCCCTTTCTCTCTCTCTCTCTCTTTCTCTTTCTCTCTTCCCTCTTCCCCCCGACGCGATCCTTTCGCCGGAGTAGAGCAGCCTGCAGGGGACATTAGATGGTTTTCGCTCGGAATAAATGATCAAAAGGTAACTCCGGATTAAAGCTGTCGCTTGCCCGGTGACTCGCTCGCGCTTACACGCTCCGCTGCGACCCGGATGTTGCGCTTTTACAAAGCGGTTTAATCAAATTTTCAGAAAAGTCGTTGATGCTATTAATACATATTCGCCTGTGCCGGAAGGCGCGCGCAGTTCTCTCAGTTTCTGGATTCTTTGTCAGATTTGGAAATGATTCTAGCTTAGAGCGAAAGGCGAAAGGTTAAAGGGAAGATCGAATTATCTCCCGTGGTTGAAGTTCGTCTAGGGGAGCTGAAAATTTCCATTTACTCAGTTTCAACTTATTATTCAAGCTCTTGCAAACTTATTAATTATTTAATGTTGCTGAACTTTATTTATCTTTGATTATTTATAATAGTGAGTTCTTCGCTTATTAAAATAAGGGAATATTTTGCTGCATGATCTGTCGCTACCATCAAAATATTATTGCAGAAAAGAAGTATTTAGTGCTAAAAGTAAGAGAGAATGATATGGATTATTATTCCTAATAATAGGAATAATAATACCGCAAATTTTAATTAAAGATCAAACCCAATTTAATTAAATTTTTATAAAAAAGCGCAATTTTCATACATGTTACATTATCTTATAATTTTCCATGAATTATAATGCATTTTCTATCTTTTTTCGTGAATATATGTAACAAATAATTACAGAATCTAATAAAAAAAGAGCACATTTTTTAAAATAGTCAATAATTATTGCTCAATTAAGGGGATATATGAGAGAAGCAATAGAGAAAAAGATTTTCTTCAATAAAATACTTTACTCAGCGATATATATAAAAAAAAATCAAGAATATATATAATTATTAGTAGCAATGCCGTGCTGGATTACGAACCGATTATTTCAAAGCGTATTTTTCTTTCTTTTTTCGTCGTGTATCGTCGGGGAAAAGAAAAATTATCTCGTGGTTCAAATCGGAGGCGAGGAGGACGAGAGAGAAATTAATGTCAGTTCGTTAGGGTGGCTTGTACTCGTGTCGCAGAATTTAATTATTAGTGTGAGTAAAAATAAATGGCAGCCACGAGAAAAATGTCGATTTAACGAGGCGCTGCGAGCATATCGCTATCGAAACACTCGCGATGTTTCGCCATTAGGTGGAATGACCTTTCGAGCAATTTTCACGCGTATCCGGGCGATCTCGTAAGAACGACGACGATATAATATATTCTTTTTTTTTATTATTAATGAGAGATATCATAAACGAGTTCCAAAGCAATCTTCCGCCAAGCTACTCGGCGGAGCGCCGAGACAATTTTCTTCCCGAAGTTTACCCGCTCGCGCGCTTATCGAGAAAGGAGTTTCCGCGAGCAAAAAATTCTCATTATGACTTATCCACGATCGGCCACCCCGACCGAGATACTCTGGATAAACCGAGATAAGTGGAAATCTACGATGAACGAAATCGGCATGATAATCGCGATGTTGTAATTGAAGGGGATGGAATGGAACTCGAGAACGTGAAACTCTCCGCTGAAAAAATCAACGTTATTTTTTTTTTGCTGCAAAGAGCACGAGTACGAGAGAAGAGAAGCTGACACGCGTCAGCTTGAGAGAGATGAGAAACCCGCAATATTCGGTGTCGAAAAGATGTTCGGCTCAATACGATGATTTATCGTCACTGTCGTTGGGAAAGAGGAAAAAGGGCACTATCGTGAAAAGGGCACCCGATATGCAATATGAAATCGGCCATGCAAAAGATAACGAAAAACGTTTATTCGCTAAATGAAATTGGGAGTGAATGGGAGAGATTGACAGGAGTTTTGCATCGAGCCGGTGGAAGATCCTGGCGGACAGCGGCGATCCCTAGCGAACGTCCCGGGTAATACCGAGTCGTTTATCACGACTGGGGCGAATGGAGAGTGCTCGTGAGAGATCGCGAGATCGTCCGACAAGCTTCCACGCGCGGTGTGTTGCGCTACGCTACTAAGTTCGCCCGAGTTGTGGTGATTAATCGATAATGGGCTTCATATGATACGGACGGTACGTTGTCGATGTGCGAAACAACCTTAATCACATTAGTTGACGGTGACATGATCGATATATTATGATGGGACAGGTCATTCCGTTTCGTTCAGCTTAACATCACAGTACGCTGCCCCTGGCGTTCAACGTCATGCTTATCTTGCTCGCGTATCTGCGCGTTACGCTCCCGCATCTACATATACATTATCATAATAGAAGCGAGCTGACTAATTAATCGATCCACACGCCATTTCCCAATTTCAGTTTGCGCAGTTTCATATTTATGTTGGGATGTAGTAGACAGATAAACATCATAATATATTTATAATTGCATTTTGCTAAAAAACCGTCTGCTTTATGCAGTAAATTCAACAATATTGTAAACACACACACACATAAAACATGAGATTTACGAAAATAAATGCGCTTTTCGTACACTTTGTCCGAATAAATAAATTCCAAGTTAGATGGAAGTAAAATATATATGAAAAAATATGTAATTTAATTAGATAATTAGTTATCCGCAGTTCTTTCCAACTTACGGTTTCCATTGAGAAAATTTATTGCTATGATTTTGGTAATCAACTATGGTAATTAAGACACAAATGCCGGCTAAATCCCTTCTCCATGTCAGAAAGAATCTCTCGTGCTTTAGCAACGACCCTTACTGATCGCGCTTATACCTTTACGTTTGTTACAGTGTGCCACCTACTGCGAGGCGGCGTGGCGGCGATTTTTGGACCGCAGAGCGCGCACACGGCATCTCACGTGCAGAGCATTTGCGACACCATGGAAATTCCGCACTTGGAGACACGCTGGGACTACCGGCTTAGACGGCAGAGCTGCCTCGTCAACCTCTATCCGCATCCCACCACTTTGTCCAAGGTACGTATACACAAACTTTTAGCCAGAATAATAGCCTCATTAAAGTGGCGCTCGTCGCGCAAAATCTGCCTTCGTGACCCTTCTCCTCACGGATTTCTTGCCTCTCTCATAGCTGTTTTACCTCTGCCCTCATCGACGACAAACATGGGCTTTTTAGATTGTAGGATTAACGGTTGTCGCTCTAATCAAGGTAATTTCCACATTCCGTGCTTCGCATTTTACGTTGCGCTGTAATTATAATTGAAGTTTTGAAAGGAAAATCAATGAAGTTTAGAAAAACATCAAAAATTTTCAATAATGACAAAAGAATATTATAGTATTATTGATTAATAAAATTGATTACTAAGACTATATGTCAGGCGTTTATATAAAGTTTTCCTTTCTTATTAGTTTATCAAAAATATAATTGAAGCCATTAACAAATTCAAGCAAATTTCACATTTAGCCGAAAGATTATATCGAGTCCGCACTTTTATTAAGTTTATAATGTGAAAGATCGCTTTTGCGGCCAAGGCGCATTCGCTGTTGCATTTGGTTGTATCTATATATACATCGAGTACTATATGCCCACAGTGCGGTAGTTCTGAACTTAACGCAAAAGAACTGAAACTTTTTGAATTTCTCTTAATAAGCGCGAAGTTTCGTGAAGGGGTACGGCTGAAAGCCCTGGTCGCGGGTTTGTATAGCTCACGGGCTTTTTAGGTTAACGAGAGTTCTCTCTCTTTCTCCCCCTCCTCTCTCTCCCTCACTCTTTCTCTTCGTCCCCCCCTCTCTTTTTCTCTCTCTGTCTGTCTTGTTGTTGCATGAATGCAACCCTTTTCTTTCCTCAATATTTGTTATTCGCACCTGGTGACTCTTTCTTCTTCACTCGTTTCTCTCGTCCTCTCAATATTTGCCACTAGATTTGTTCTCCGAAAGCGTTTTGTTTATTCTCTGTATAGGATGTGGTGGAATCCTGCTCATCGCCCATCACTGAGTTTTCTTTTATTTTTGAAGGGACTTGCGAGTAGAAAATAAATATCCATGGCTGCGAGGCGCTTTACGCTTCAAACGCGAGAGAACATTCGTGAGAAAGTCGATAAATCCGTTCGCTGCGGGCGAATGAAACGCGCAAGCATGTCCCAAAGGAAACGATGAAAGCCAGCGAAAATGAAATTTCCCCTTGACGTAGACATCAGAAAACAATTGCTCTTTATTTGTACCTTAAATATGTATCTATAATGATATGGTTGTTACTCGGGAAAAATATGATTTTTACACAATTATTACTAAATACGTTATTCAATTTTATTGCCTGTGTTAAAAACAGTAATTCTTAGATCCATAAGTAGTAAAATACAATCAACAGACAGAATTTATTAATACGTGACGAATTTCCTGAAGTCCTTTACGGATTTCGTATGAAATATTGATGACTAGATAATAATTTACGGTCGCGTGGGTTGGCTTTGACATCCTCGATCAAAGGGCTTTCAGCAATGATGCACAGAGAACACAATTTAAAGGTCACCGCATATCTAAAGCTATGCGCTTTTTTCTCGCTTTCTCTCTCTCTCTCTCTCTCTCTCTCTCTCTCTCTCTCTCTCTCTTTCTCTCTCTCTCTTCCTTTCTCTTATCAGAGAATTTCAATTAGAATCCATTCGCGTGTCGCATCACTGAGTCTCCAGCATTTGTTAGAAATCACAAATTTTTAATGTTGCTGTTCTAGTATTTCGAAATATTCTGATAAACTCTCGCAATCACTGACGCAACTCTAATTAGTACGTATATTCATGCGAATATACATCTGACGTACATTTTTATCTGTTTTATCCATCAGACTGCGTAATTTGTGTAAAATATTTGAACAAAATGTTTTTATAAAAATATTTGACCAAAAAATTGTTATAAAAGAAAAAATAAATGTTATGAAAAGTAATCAAATTAGTATTTTCTAATATTCCAATGCCTGATTAAAACATGGAGAAAGAAGTAATTCTTATACAAAATCAATTTATATACAAACAATAAGAATTTGATTTAAAATATCTAAATATCTATATTTGCAGTTGTAAAAGATAAATTTATATTTATAGAGAATATAAAAAGAGAATAAAACACAGATTTCATATTAGAATAATTAATATACCTGAACTAATGCAACGATGATCGATTGAGGATGTTGCACCTTTTCAGATTAAAAACTCGTGTAAGATTCATGATAGAGATTCAGTTTCTTAATTTGCAAAATCCGATGTTCGCACAATGAAATGCGAGCGCGCGCGAAAGGTTGGAGGACATAAAGAAGGCGGAGAAACGTTTAATAAGCTTTCGCGTTCTGAAAGTGATAAACATCAGGTTTCCTCAGTCTCAGGTTTCCATTGTGGAGTCTAGTAAACCTGGAGGGAAGTAGCTTACGTCGTCAGTTATTTCACGGTGTTAGAACAGGGTTTTGGTTTTCTCTCGCCCGAGTTCTTTTCTCAACGGAATCCCGCCATTTCCAACGCGGCGAAAATGCAAAATTCACTAGGAGAGCAGCGGCATCCTGATTAGAGTACTCGACTCGGAGGAAAAGGAAAAATCGGGGGAGAAAAAAAAAGACGGCGGAGGTGGGCGAACGGTTGGCGTCGATTCCTTCAAACGAGCGACAGCCTCATTCAGTCAACTCGACGACGGAAATATTTTACTTTCCGGTACCATCTTATGCGTAGTTCAAAGGAACCGAAGGCGATTGCAGGGAGCAGAAAAATAGAATAAAAAGCACGACCAGTGAGTCTCTTTGATTCACATCGGGTGAATTGTGGGGATAACTTTAATACCCTTCCGCGCCACGATTTTCCGCAAAACGATAACAAATTACTATCGCAAACGGCGCATTATTCCGGCAAAATGAAAATAAACAATTCCTATTTATGAAAAGTATCAACTGCAAGAAAATATTGCATTAAGGTACCTTTAAGCTTTTACACGAACTACGATTTATTCATTATTTATTTAAACTTGATAAAATATTGAAATGTTATAATTGGATTTCATGTAAAATAAATGCTTATATAAATTAAAAATGTTATTTTTATAAACTTACTTTCAGAGCATAGAAAGAAATAACAATTATTATTTTATTTGAAACAATTAATAGAAACAACAATTATTATTGTTTCAATTATTTTTGTGATAAAAATAGCAACACAATGTGAATAATATAATATCTGGAATACTGTTCTTTTATTTTTTGCATTTCACTAGTCGGTAAAAAATATTGTTAATGACACTATTTTAGCACATAAAAAACGCTTTTAATATTTCTACGGAAACAATGATAACGTTAAAAATTGCTCTATTACTTTCGCATTCGAAATGTCCCTGAACAAGACGCACCAATTATTACATTCAAACGCGAAGACGAATCTATCCAATCTCGCTTTGAACTTTCGGACAGTTCGTATTGTCCGCGTCGAAATCGAATTGTCAGGTATTTCGATTCGCATTCCTGCGCACGAACGTAGACTGCTCCTTCTGCCGTGCTATTTTCTTCTATCCTAGCTAGATGAAAGAATCCCTTGGTAAGCCATCAGGAACAAATAACAAATACTTTACAATCTCATAAAATTATCGCTCTCTTAACCATAAAATTTTAATTAGAGAAAGAGAGAGACCACATGTTCCTTATTTGACAAATAAGTAAATAAAATTATTTAAATTTCATGTACATCAGCACCTCAGAATTGAAATGACTATTTGTAACATTTCTTATAAATAAATAAGTATGTTAAATTACGCATAGCTATTACGTTACGTAGAAATATTTACCACGATTGCTTTATATTAAATTAAATATTATACTGCTCATTATATATATTACTATCATTGAGGGTCACATCTTAAACATTGAGGAATATACGGTGATTGTTCATTATTTAGTATGAATTCCCTTAATTATCTAATTGTAAGATGTCTAGCTATCATTAATGATCGCTAGATGTAATATTGATTGTATAGATATACGTAATCATTAGGGCATTTTCTCTACGATCATGAATACATTTTAATTGGAGAATTCTGTATAATTAAAATTATTCCGTATACCGAAAGAGATATTCTACCTAAACATTGTTTACTTTTGAACTTTAAATGATGGAATGGCATTGGTCATTCCGTTTGCAAGATAATCGACATTATGATGATATAGCGGGTGATATGTTGGTGTTAATGAACCGCGAAGGGCGCAATTGCCATTACCGCAACAATGATTTAACGATCTTCCTCGTGGCCTATAATGTACCGGCTTCTGTGCTCCGATGGTCGTCGGGCCAGCAGCCGGTGTGGATGGATCGGTTGAATCAGCCACTATGTTGCTGTTGGAATTCAATTTGTACTGTTTCCTAATCGAGCTTTTGCTCATTGCGCTTTACTGCTCCACTTCGTACAACCAATACTGGTACCATCATCAGGCCCCAAGAAAACCCCTGTAGAGAGTATAGAACCCTGAAAAAAAAAAAACATTTAACATTAGCTCACTTTTATGTACTTTAAATTAAATGCATCTGCTCTTAACCAGCTATTATTATATCACGTGCATAAAAAAGTTCTGATTTGATAATAAAATTGTTCTAAATTTATTTTTAATTTAAGTTAGTTTAATAAAAAGTTATTTGACAAAGGTTTATTTTTTCCCTCTGGGAAAAATTCGAAATAACTCATTTATTGAAAATGTCCAATATTAAATATATTATTAAAATTTTTAATAATAAAATTTTATTATTCATTATTTTAATACTGTATATTATGTTTTACGTATGAATATGTTATATAATATCTTGATTAAAGAGCAATTGCGTAAAATTAAAAAAATCCTGGAAAGAAAAGGTAATTATCTTATTATGTAATTTCCCATAAAGCATAATGGCAGGTACCTATGCGCTATAAACATAGAAGCATTGGGACATAATAGAAACTATTTTTAAAAACTTTTTATTTATCTAACTAAGAGAAACTATTCTCTTAGATTATTTTTTTGGTCA